CTCACTCACTCACTCACTCACTCACTCACCCATTGACCCGTAACATACTCAACGCGCCGACTAAGAGGTATTTTTTTGTAAAAAAAATAACTCAAAAATTGAGGCTAAACTTTTCAATATGCGCAAACCGTGACTGAGCTCCTTTAAGAACACTTGGCGATAAATCACGAAACATTTTGGCAACAAAATCAGCTTTAAATTTTAGCGGGACGTGCAGTAGAATACGGCCCGCTAAATTGACCCATCACAGCATGCATACTAACTGAGAGATATAATAATAAGTTTTCTAATACAGCAAAGGCACTACAATTTCTTGATTTCCACTTTTTCAAATGAATCATTCTACACATTGCCTGTTTGTTAGTTCAGAAGGCCTATAGCAAAATTGAACAAACAACATTGCTACACTGCTGGTCCAGTATATTGCCCTTGACATTGTCATGATTGTTACTGAGATGCCATTCTTGAAGGTTATCTTGTTTCTAAATAATTCACTAACACATACTGGATTCTTTTTTCTGTTTTTAATTTTTTTTTCCGATTTGAACATTCTTTCATTCTTTTTTTACACCATACGTGAGTGAACGTCAAGGTGATTCTTAATCAGAATTGTACACTAGAAGTTTGCAATGTTTACAATCCATTAACACATTTTCAGTCCTGCAATATATCTCGTAGTTTAACAAATACTTTGGCTGTTACAGGGGAAAAAGGTAGCCTGCACAGAAAATTCACTGTCCACAATTATTAGGAGAACTTTTTTCTTCTTGTGGAATTCTTTTTTATCAACTCCATAAGATTTTCCTCAGTCACTAACGTGTCTCTGTGCTTTCTTTTATTTGCTGACTCTTTTGAGCGCTGTTTTCGTTGAAGAAGGTATGGGGAATTGAGAAGCTCCTCAGGCAAGGTAACAGCTAATGGCTGCAGAGTCTCCACTAAGTCAATAAAGACATGCTTGTTTGTGTTATTGATGAATGTTAAGGCCCAGCCAGTGCTACCTAATCTGCCAGCTCTCCCCACTTGATGAACATACTCCTCAACTGATGAAGGCATGTCAAAGTTGATCACCTAAAGTGTAAAGGAATACACCTCATTACACATGAAACGAGCTACAAACAAAGTGTAACAAAGCTTAAATACAAACAGTGCTTTTTTGTACAGTATTATGAAAAAGTTTGAGTCCCATTCATACTGGCCCAACTGCCAGAGCTTATCCAAGCTTTCATAGTATGAAGCACCCTGGCAACACCATAGTAAGAAAGACTGAGTCTTCAGGGGAGTGAGCAAGAATGACATTAAAAAAAGAGTGACCTTAGACAGGCAATAAGGAGCTTATTTAGGGTCATGATATGACTAAACTCTATTGTTTGGAAACTCACCTGACTAACATTAGGAAGATCAATTCCTCTTCCAAGTAGAGCAGTGCAAACGAGAACAGGACATTCACCAGCAAGGAATGATTCCAAAACCCTACTTCTTTCACTCTGTGATTTGTCCCCATGCATTGACAAGCAATGAAGATTGCACACCTGGAAAACAATATAACAGTATAAAATTGTAAACAAGAAATATAAAAATATAACATAAAAACAACCAGAAAATTTTAAAAACATGCGTACATTGTACTTACACTGTCATGAGAAAACAACAAATACCAGAGCACTCATTTTTTTGGTGAGCAGCTTTGGAGTTGAGAATTATAAGCAAAACTTTAACAGTTATCAAACCTTAATTTATTATTACCATTGTTGTTACATGCATAATTATTGGAGTGGTATTAAAGTTTCAAAGTACCTTCTGCACTGCTTCTGCAAGCATGTCAGCTCCTATCTTAGAAACCACAAACACAACAACAGGAGGTTTAAAGTGCCTGGAGTCTTGAAGAATTGAGAAGAGGCGCTTCTTCTTGGACTTGTCTTCTACCCATAGCACGATCTGTTTGACTGAAGCATTGGGTACACTTGGAGACCCAACAGACACATACACTGGATTGACAAGCATTTTGGCAGCCATACTTTCAATAGATGATGGAATTGTGGCCGAAAACATGAGGACCTGTTTTTCTTCTGGCAACTTTTCAATCACTTCTTGAACCTACCAAAACAAATGTAAAACATAAAGAGAATGAGTGCATACTATAACTCATCATGATTTAAATAATATGTAACTACACCAGCTATTCTATAACCAGGATAAATAAAAATTACATTAAATTATGGTGCTGCAAAATGTTGAGGCCCTACCATTGCTTTCTTCCTTCTATGATTATTAAACAATAGGATAGAAGATTACAGTTGAAAACAAATATTATATAATGGATAAATTAACCTCAATATCATAGAATTCAAAATGTCCATATGTACATGTACTGCCATGAAAACAGCCAGTAAGCTGGGGTTCTTGCCACTTTTCTCAGCAGCAGGGTTTAATCAGCAATAACAGGTAGGTACCAACAGTCTATTCAAATAATAATTATGCACTTGTGAATATATGAAAGATAGTATATCTGAACTGCGGAGAAAGATGCAAAGATATGAATGATCATTGCAGCTACATACACAATTTGAGCAGCTGTGAAATCAAATCCTCAAAAAATTTTCAGGCTTGAACGGGATTTAAATCCATGACCTCTTTGATACTAGTGTAGTGCTCTACCAACTGAGCTATCGAGCCAACTGGTAGCTGGCCACATTGTCAGGCTTAAAAAAAGCCTGTTTAAGCCTGGAAAAAAGCTACCAGTTCACACTTGAACAGGAGTCAAAGCCATGACCTCTGTGATACAGGTTCATGGTACCGCCATTAGCAGACACCTATGGGTACATTTTCTTGTCTCAAGGGTGACTGGTTAGTGGACCTTCAACTATATTTCTAAAAAGAATGTTAGCTAATTTACTTGTTGCTCAAATCCCATCTGCAACATGGTATCAACTTCATCCAAAACAAAGATCTTGACAGAAGTTAGATGAATGCCTGGCAGAGTCAGAAGCTTCTGTATTCTCCCTGGAGTCCCAATGATTATCTGTGCACCTGAATACAGACGGTGATGCTGAGGAGGAAGAGGCAGTCCACCAACTAACAATGCGGTCTTCATGTTTGGTAAGCCTTGCATCAGTTCCTTGGCTTGTTTCTCTATTTGCATACAAAGTTCTCTTGTTGGAGCCATGATCAGACCAAGAGTATCAGACAAGTTAAATGATCTCTTATTCTGCAATGACCATTCTAAAAGAAACAGATTTCACCATTATCATTGGTAACCGGTCCTTTTATGGTGGCCAATGCTATTTACGCCCTAGGTTAGGTCTAGACTAGGTTAAAATTGTACTTTAATATGACAAATTTGACCTACATGTAGATAACAGAAATCACTGAAATCTGAGTTACATATATATTCATGGTTAGGTTGGAGGTAGGGTCACCTATATGTATTACAGATGTGACAGTTAAGAAAAGAACCTTGTACATTAAATTTTGGGGAGCATAGAATTTTTGATCTGATTAATGTGAACATTCCTATCTGCAGTTACCCTGCCAACAGAGCTGCTTTGAACTTTTAATTCCCGACATACATGCAGGGTTCTCCCTAGTTTTCAGCACAACAGGTAAGGGACCTTTTCAAACCGGTAAAGAATTTGGTTACTGTTGGACGCTTTGCAAAGGATAAGTGACAATTTGAACTTTTGTACCACGTTGGTTGAGCTAATGTCAGCCCGGTCCCTCTAAGTATAAAAATAACCTTCACACAATCAAGTTTTCTTTTTTTCTCTCTCTAGCCTTACTGACTGCTTGTGTCCTTCTGAATTGCCATGCTCTGATATTGCGGCCTTCCTGTAACATGTAGTGGGCACAGTAGCATATTTCACATTTTTGCCTGTTTTAATATGCTTCTTACAAAGACAACAAAACATTCCCTCGCCCTCTTTAAATGCCAGACACTTTACACTACTTTTACAGCAGAATACAATGTCATCATCAATCCAGTCATGCTTGAAAACATGGGGCTTTAGTGGCAACTGCCTGCTTATTTCATTGGAAGATAGAGACTTGCAGCTGTTTTTTGCACATAGTATATGATGGTGTAAAACATGGGGTTGGCTACTACCAAAAGCTTCTTCCAGAATGTGTAAATACTGCTTTTCTGAAATACCAGAGGGTTTAAATGTTTTTAATTTTGATGCTGCTTCCAACGACAGTTTTGATGGTGTCGTCTCTTTGAGTGGTAATTGGTTGTCAGCTTCCGAAGGTGATGCGCTAACTGACTCAGACGTTTCTACTGATTTATCGGTCGAGGGTTGTTCAGTTATCACTCGCTCTTCTGTTGATCGCAAAGGCACATTTGCAGCTTCAGGTGGCCGGTCATTCTCAACTTTGTCACTTCCTAAAACATACAGTACATCGCGCCTGTCAAAAATTCTCCATCGAAAAATTCATAATGTAAACGATACACCTTTTGGTTCAGAGGTGTAATAAAACAAAGTAAAATTTTGTTTAAAAGCATTTTATTCTGACTGTACCCTTTCCAAACTGCTTATAACATAAAATGGTTCAGGTGATATCTTTGGCATCACTTGCATGGCATATCACTGGAAAATCTGCTACACTATGGTATCCGTTATGAATCGCATTGCTACCAATGAAATCACATCACTTCGAATTGCTGAATTCGTGTTCTAATCGTCTCAAATTCAGAACTTTCACGCTGTCAAAGATTTTATTTTCAAGGCTTCTTTCAAATCATTGTCTGGAATACATTTCAAGTAGAATTTCACGATGAAGACTGGCTTTGTCCCCACATGTTCACTATAAAGCTTGCAAATGTAGAGCTGTCAAGGCAGTTATTTCTGGTAATCGGCTACTTTTTCATCGCTACTACGTAAGCTTCATTTTGTTTAGCCCTAAAATGATTGTAAAGCTTACCTCCTACTCTTCATGACTTCTTGTTACTGTTGTTACTGGACAGGTACGACAGCTTTGTTTGCTGCAGTTTCATCACAGAAACTGAATAACTGAATGACACAACATTTGTACAAGCAGAGAACTGACGAATGTCATGATGTTTAGCAGAAAACCCGCAAAAAATCACCCTTGCTTCGAAATTCGAAAGGTACCAGTCAGTGTTAACTAAATAAAGCACATGTAGATCTATAAGTAATAACAGTGCACTGTTTCTTTTTTCATCTATTACTTTCTTACCAGAGTAGCTCACCTTAAATGCGTACTTTTTTAAGACTTCTGAGCGTTTACAGGCGGTAATAAGTACTCTTACAAGCGGTAACTTTTACCGGTTACTGCCTGATAAGGAGAACCCTGCACATGTATCTAACAAGGACCAAAGTGATGAGCTGCTAGCAAGCTAATCACCAGAAACTTTGTTATTTTTTTCAGTCCCAATCACATATAGATTCTGAATAGGAAGATTGCTGGATTTTAAAAAGTATTATACCAAAATAATAGTAGCAGGCTGTATAATGGCAAAGGTCTATTTTGAGACCCCTTATAAGTCTACCAACCTAAAATGAGATTTACTCAAGACAAGCTCTCCCTGAACATAAGCCTTGCTGGGAAAGAGAGTAAGTCTATATAAAAGTACTTTAAGCAAATGCAAGCCTGCAGATTGTACTTAGAATTTTATATGTTGTGTATAATTTCATATTTTGTATTAAAATGTGAGACATCTTGTTAGAGTCTAGAAAGGAAAGAAGGCAGGAAAGAAGGAGGGAACTGGTTATTTAGGTACTATTTATGGTGCCTTGCTTAAAGTAATCCACTTACCAATTTCAAGATGAATTTTTTGAATGATTGGCACTAGAAATGCAGCAGTCTTTCCTGAGCCAGTCTGTGCACAGGCTAAAACATCACGAGAACTCAGCACCAGAGGAATTACTTGCATTTGAACTGGTGTTGGAGTGATATACCCTGAGTGAGTCAAATTCTCATTCAAAGTTTCACTGAGCTGACACTGCTGAAATTCAAGGATCGGTTTACTTACGTCATCACCTTTCACCTTAATTTTCAGATTCGTTCGAATACCAGCAACCTTGCTCATTGATAACTCGGCAATAAATGGATGTTCTTTGTAATAAGATTTATTTTCGTTGCCTGGGGCCACTGTTATTGGCAAAAAGCTGTCGCTTGAATTGGTTTTGATCGCTTCTCTAGCGACAATCCTGTTGTCCAACAGATCTTCATCTTTCTTTCTTGCACTGCCTTTTAAATGTCTTGCTTTGCATTCCAAACTACACACGTCTTCGTCTGTTTGATCCACAATGTAGGCTCCGTATCGCCCACAAATCACACAAACAGGCTCTCCAGGTGTTGGCCATCTCTGGTTTTTACTGTATGATACAGTTTCTTGCTCGTCATCACACTCTCCTTCATCTAAATTGTTGTCAACTATAAGCTCACTTGTGACAATGGTATCATCATTTGCACCGCCACCTATCATTTGTTTTCCCACTAAAGAGTCGCTAGCCGACAATGCTCTTTCATCAATCAGCTTTTCTTCCTTTAGATGCGAATTTCTATCGTGGACAAATTTGCACTTTCGTGAGAGGTCAGCTTTAAAATCTTCCTTTCGTTTCACTGACCGAGGAACGAACTTAGTCGCCATATTGGTCGCCATTTTCTTGCGTCCTAGTCCTAGTCCTACTCGTTTCTGTCTTATACACCAGCCTAGTCCCCCGCGGCCCGCGGCCATTTTCATGGTGAAAACTTTTTGAAAACCATCAAAGCTTGTATTTCTTTCTTTCCGTCAAATAAATGTCTGAAAGTCCCCATATGAGCGATGAATTCGTTGACAGGCCTAGCAACCAAATGTCGGTTTGCCGTTTTAGAGGTCAGCGATGACGAAGACGAAGAAAAACCTCAAGTAGAAGGTGACAAGGCGGGAACCGTCGCGGGAAGACCAAAAGGTGCTGACGCAAACAACGATGCAAAAGCGAAAAAGAAACGGAAAAAGAAGAAAAACAGGTCAAAAAATAACCAGGTAGTCACAACTGAGCTTCGTTAGGTATCTAAGTTAACTTGCTGAGTAGTTTTCATTGACTGAGACGTACGGGGAATGCAGAGGGAGTCATATAGACAGGGATTGAGGAACAGAAAGAAGACGTCTTGTCAAATTTAATGCACTAGTCAATTGTAACCCCGACCCTCAAACCCCCAGGGAATAGTGGGGAAATTCACAAGAGCATCTTTGTAATTTTAGAAACTTTCCCGGGGTCCCAGGGACACAGATTCAGAAGGCGATTGGCCCTGCCACTTAGCGGTGTGAAATGCAGGCGTGAAATGTAATAAGAGTGCCAAATAAAATAACAAGTTTTCGTGATTGCGACGCCAAAGGCGCTCAATTTAAAACATGACACGATCAGTCACAGCTGCTTCGTTTGCCCATCAGGAGCAAACAAAGCCGCTAGCTGCTCTTTTTCATTCTCAAACAAGATACAGGGTACACTAATGACGTACATGATAAAGAGTGTATAATTATTTCTTTCAAAGTTGCTCTCAGTGGGAAAGAATACTAGACTTGTTTTTCGCTGCAATTCAATCAAAAATAGCCTTTAAGTTCGTATTAAAGTTAACTTAATGTTAGTATCAACACAGTGCAATGCTGCTCACAATATTGCTCACAGTGACTACATTGCACCATGTTGCCATCCCTGAAATTATTGTATGTGTAATTTTGTGGAAGTATAACCTCCCCCTACTTCAGCAATATTGCATTTTCAAGGGTGGACACATGAGTGAAATATGCGTGTCCCAGCCTTTATGTCAAGGTTAGCATTAGGGTTACCATAAGAATATGCCATAGGGTTTAGGCTATGATTAGAGTTAAAATCAGGGTCAAGGCCTGTGGTCACTTTTGTTAATATGCACATGTTCTGCACATCATGAAATTGTTGGATTACACACCTCATATGCTACAGTTGAAACTGGCAGAATCAATCTCAGAATCAAATCAAGCTTAATAACCAGGAACACCAGAAGAGCAGCATCTCACTAAAGCACTAACTGGTAGAATTGTACTCATATACTAGTACTGATATGCAATCTGATTGGCTTAGCTATCAACCAACCAACCAATTAATCATCTTATTTTGCCAGATTTACAAAAAGAATTTATAGCATAAAAACAATTAACTTTGGCAAACGAAAACTACTCCGAATAGTAGGAAAACTAAACAAGCTAAGTTGATAGAAAAAATAATATTCTTTACCTTGGTTGCAATATGCTTGATTAAAGAGAAGGAAAAAAAAAGCACACACACAAAACAAGATACAAAACAAGATACAAACAAATAGTTAAATGAGTGTTTAAAAAAGAAATGAAAAGTAATTTAACCATACCAGTTAATAAGACCAAATTTATATTTAGGTTTGTTTGGAATGAAAAATAGTATATATTTACATGTACCTACACCACAGGCAAGACATAGAAATACTACTGAATAATAAATTATTAAATTTTCACCCAAAAAATAATATTAGGGAGTGACATTCACCAGCACAAAGGGATTGTGGAAAAAAGTGATGAGCATTCATACATAGCTGCAAGTATCAATGCATGATTTAGTCATCTCACGATTTTGTTAAAGCACCAAGTATGATATTTGATTCAACCTTCTTAGTTATCACCTCAAAGAAATCTCAAGTTCCTAGTGTATAAATCATTGAATGGCTTAAAACTTTTAGCTTTGTTTAGCAAGTTAAAAAGGAGACCGCTAAAAAATGGGTTTCTACAGATAATTTGTGTAAGTTCTGTCTGTGTACATCCTATGATGGATAGAGAGTTCTGATACTCTGTCATATTGGTTATAGTCCTCAGGAGATCCTTCAAACAATGATCAAGACATAGACAATAATGAGCCAAATGCAGATCATGGAGAGTGGGATGAATGGATGCAGAAAGATGAACAGGTTTGGTTTCATCATCATCATCATAAACTTTATTTACTCTCGAATTTACAGAGTCACTAATTTCTTTGAGCTACCTAATGTTAGAGGAAGACGTGGTGGCCTCATGTTTAGTGCGCTCAAGCTTAGCTTGAAGGGAATCTCTTAATGTTGTGTGTATGTACGCACTCTAGCATCTGCATTAATGATGTAAAAAATGTGCACAGCAAGGAATCATGTACCATGCAATTCAGTGGAATCACCTTAAGTAACTTTTTTTTTTCCAAATAAAGTTGAAAGAATTTTTTTTTGTAATTAGCTTCTTTGGATTGATGATAGAAGTGTTTATATTTTTAACCAAAATACATGACATGGTTGTTGCTTTCATTGCTTTTTAGTTTGTTCTCAGTCAATTCCAAAGGGATCTCAAGGTAAATAATAAATTGTTTACTAAATTATGTCTATGCATTTTGAATTGGTCTGTTGCCTTTTCATTATGGTGTCACCATTTTTGTTTGTCGAACAGTCACTGAAGTTTATCTTTTGTTAATAATGACAACAGGACATAATGAAATCTAGGGTGGTCAGTAACCATCCAAGTACGCAGAGTCAAACAATTGCATATGGTTACGGGCAGAATAAGAAGATGTAAAGTCCTTATACCAATATTAATCAGCCATTTAATCATTATCTGTTCAAGTTCAACTGTCCAAAAAACGACAGGCACAAGTGGCACAGACTGTGCAATCATAATATCAAAAGTAGTATGAATCATAAATTCTATCATAGTATCAAAAAAAGGGCTGTCTGGTCATCCAGGACAGGTAGATTTTCCTGCTGGGCAAGTTACTTTCATCTTCACTTGCCTGATGGGCAGGTCATCTGCCAACTAGCAATAAAAGTAAACAAAGACTTGCCAGGGCAAGCAAAATTTAAGAGCTGTTGATCTGAAGGGCAAGCTAGAATTCAAGTTTTTTTCAAGCCCTGAGTATGATCTTCAGCAAACTGAATTTGAAGAATGTTGCATCACTTTAATACTGATGATCTACTATAGGGAGTTTCATGGCTTTTATCACACTGACAACCACTCTTAATAATAATCCAATGCATACGAGAAGTGTGAACCTTAAAAATTATTTGCTGCTATTTTGTTTTGTCATTAGTTGGCTCTTGAGGCAAGTAAGATAGATACAATTCAAACAAGGCAAAAACAGGTTAGTTTATATTAATAGTCACTTTGACTATTGTTGAAGTAACATATGTTTTTCAGCATTAAGTTTCTCTACTGTTCTGTAGACAAAGTTAAGCCTGTTCTCAAGCTATGCATGGGATAGTATCTCTGCAGAAACATATTTTCAAAAACATATTTTCAAAAGCATATGGAGCAACAACAATTTTAACACTTATGCGTGCTACATTTCCACATAGACTTTTAGACAATCCTGAATATGTGTTGTTAACCAGTGCTAAAATATAACCATTTCTGAGTAATTTATTTGTCAAAGCAACCTCTAAGCTGCTGTGATCAATGGTGTAGTGAGCTAGTGAGGGAGAGAGAGTGAGTCCATAATAATGTCTGTCAAGCCGCTCAGATGGCTTTAACAACCAATATGTTGTTCGCATCATAATAGCGGAGCTCCGGCGGCCCAAAGGGCCGCCAAGCGGAGCCCCATACTCATATGGGAAAGAAAAGGATACCCATGAGTTGATTTTCTCATGGTTACCATGGCTAGCGGTATTGCTCGTGGGCGAGTACGCACAACGACGACGACGATGACGGCGACGGCGGAGTTGCCCAACATGGCGGCCATACTCCAAATAATAGGTTGACAGAGACATGCAGCCTTGGTTTACCGTGCACTTCCTTGACATTGGGCATCCATGTTATGATCAATTGACACCTGTCAATACAAGGTATCCGCTGACCAGTATCACGTGACCATATCGTGGGCTCAGGTTTACAGCTCCTCGAGGTCATGTGTTTTCTTGAAGTTGACCGCTGACCAAGCGCTGGTTATCGATTGGATCGTGGGCTCATATTGGGTTAGCTTGTTGGAAACAGGGCAGGATTGCTCGGAAGCCAGTTTATGCTAACCCAGGATTAAAAGTTAATCGAATTATAACTTTTTCTTCTATACAAATGTGTTTTGCTGTTTTGTTTTGCGTATATGGTGATTATTAAAACTCAAAACAGAAGGCCAAACAATACACAGAAACCTCACCGCMAAGTTACAAAACTCAAATCAAAATTCTACCTTTTTCTGGGTTAGCTTAATCGGGCTTTGAACAACCCGGCCCAGGAGCTACGCTTTTAGGCTGGCCTAAATCTATATATTAAATGTAATAGTAACTACTTATTAACCAAGAGTGAGGTCTTAATGAGAAAAATCTCAAACTTAATTATAATATCACTTGCTCAATACAGCATGACCGAAGTTTGAGATTTTCCCCAATCTTGAAAGTGCAATCCACCTTAGGAAAAAAGATGGCGGCTGTTCATTTTACCACAATGCCTTGCAAACCTAACACAGCCTATAAGGCACTAAGAAAGCCAAATGTTTATAATATTTGTCCCTGTTCAAAGGACATTGAGTAGCCTGGGTTTGAAGATTTTATAATATTTCTGTACATTTTTATAAACGTTTTTAAAGTTGTCATGCGCTAAGAACTGTGGGTAAATGTACCAGTCGCCATCTTTTTTCCTACGGAGGATTGCAAGGTTAATAAGTAGTTTGTTACTTATTTATGGTCAAAATGGCTGAACCTGGAGACATTACTTCTCTGGTTTAAGAAGAATCCCATAACAAAAATAGCAGAGCCTGTGTGTTATATTGGATACAAACAAACACCAGCTATATAATTGTAGAACAATATTTTGTAAGGACTGATGGTGAATGTTTTGCAGGAATTAACATCCACACAAGCAGTTAGTCAGGAAATTACCAAGGAGAAGAAAAAGAAAGAAAAGCCTATTCCAATGTCATTAAGTGAATTTAGACAAACTGGAACTACTGAAGGAATCCAATGTGCACCAAAGTCTGAAAGCTCACATTCTGTGACAGGACTTGATAGCTTTTTAGAGTGGCCAGATGATTCTACCATAGCTGTAACACTGAATCATGAGAGGTCCAACATACAAGGTCAGATTGCTTCTTGTTGCGATTCAGTTCTTGCAGCTCAGTCAAGCCTAGTTTGTGTTTGTTGGCAATTTTCCCCATATCCCAAACTTCCTTTCTTGTTTCTCTCAAGTTAAAGAAACAAGAAGGGAAGTTTGGAAGACTGAGAAATGCTGTCAGTGGGAACACGAGTCACAGGCGAGTGTACTTGTGGCTTGTGTTCCCATCCTCAGCTGTTTCCTAATTAGTTGTCTAATTATTGATCTCCAATTTGTTTTACTAGGCACAACTTTTAACGAAATGGTGCAGGTATGTGTGACCTGTACTTGTGATTTTAGTTTTCAGTGTGTAGGCCCCAATGCAATGTTCCCACTTTTTGATGTAAAAAATTTTTGCTCCGTTTAAATATACCCCCTTTTATTTAGGTGGAAAGACAGAGTGAGGAGAAACCTTCCACACCCACAAAGCCTGTCAAGGTATCTGGTAGGAAGAAGAATGATGTGAAATCTGATACTGAAAGCAGAAATCAAAACCAAGTCACTAAGACATTATCAGAAAAAGTGAGGGACAGTCTTAATTAGTATAGGTAATCATATGAATGCCAGTGCAATAAAGGATTCACACTACAAAAATGCTCCCTTGAAAGAATTTTCAAATATCAAAAGCAGTATAAATCATAAATGCTCAAGCTTTCATACGATTACTCTTTTTATTATATGACAGAGAAAATTGCAAACCCACGTGTGTTAATTTGCTCTGCAGTGCAAATTAAGAATTAACAATAAATTGGCCTGCTCTCAGCCAATCCCAATGAAGTAATTCTCTCAGTCATATAATAAATATTAATATAGCTTTTACACACATCTAGAATTAAATGTTCATGTGTTGAATAGGCTTACCAATTCCATTTTGTCAAGTAAAAAGTAGGATCACCATTTGTTTTTAAAAGATAAGTAAGTTTCTTTGGACTTCTTTGAGATCAGTTTTGGGATCTGTTGTTATATTTTTTCTTTCTCCTGTCTAGACAATATTAATTATAATATCACTTGCTCAATACAGCATGACCAAAGTTTGAGATTTTCCCCAATCTTGAAAGTGCAATCCACCTTAGGAAAAAAGATGGCGGCTGTTCATTTTACCACAATGCCTTGCGAACCTAACACAGCCTATAAGGCACTAAGAAAGCCAAATGTTTATAATATTTGTCCCTGTACAA